CTTTATTTTCAATCTGGATCATCTTCAGATTGAAGCAAAACAAGAACATTTATTGGGGAAAAAATCACGGATCTGAGCTCACATTAGGTGACTGTGAAATGAACACAAAGAATTCCACAAATATTAAACGCATAGCTCCATTCTACAATGAACCAAAATCTCTGGTTTGGTCTTTTAATTACAACTTCCCAGATTTTAGATGAGTACCTAGGCGGCAAAATGGATAGAGCACCAGGCTTGGAGTTAGAAAGACCTGAGTTCAAATATAAATTCAGACTCTTACTAGCTGTGTGACTCTCGGCAAATCACTTAACCCTGTTTGTGCCTCAGGTTCCTCATCTGTAAAAGGAGCTGGAGAAGGAAATGGCAAATCACCCCAGTATCTTCACCAAGAAAACCCCAAATGAGATCATGAAGACAGAACTGGACCACAACAAAAAGATTTTAGACTTCCTAGCCAAATCTTAATGTAGACCCACATTTCATAACTAGATTATCCCCACTTTAGGGACACAATTCCTGTTATGGTAGGATTTGATACCTATTACTAAGAATATATCTAAATGGCTGCAACTTTCAACCTATACCTCTTAGCAAGACTATATAAGGTCTTTATATCCACAGTTCTATGTAGGTCCTGAAATATTTTTATACTTTCTATCAATTATTGTAGGAAAAAGTATTCATTCATGATGACTAAAGCCGATTATCACTTTGGCTGAGTTACTCTTTTTTAGTATAGTTGATTGATTAGCTAGATTTGTTTCATCAAACTAAAAACGAGCTTCTTAAAATTATTAAGTATGCATATCTCCTTTTCAAAATCATACAAGTCATCAACATCATTATTTCTATTTGTTTCATTACTATTCTGCAGTAAATGAACCTTGTCAATGACTATAGGATCTTCAGATATCCCTTCCCAGTTTTTATTAAGATTTCATCTAATCTCAGTTTACAAATAAAGGTTTTTCTTACAATTTTCCTGCACTGACCTGTTATAGATTATTGTGTAACTTGGAACTGCAGATATTGCTGACAAGAAGCATCAGGTAGATTTTGTCTCGCTAACTGGCAAGATATGTTTCCCATTTTCTTCTGGAAAGGACACTCATTTTGCTCCTCAGCTAATATATCATTTTCTTTTACACACTTTCAGTTATACAAGTTTTGAATAATTCATACTAAATACATAAACATATAATTGGCCTGTATTAAAAGAGGTCATGGATGTTTTCAACTTTTGATAATAAATATGTAATGTCTCTTGTTTGGAAAAAAAAATGGTTGTGTTAGGCTTGTATCTAGGAGGAAAGGCCTTACTAGTAATTAATTTATAACAGCAATAATAATTAATAATGGTGATTATAACCAATAATTGTGGAATTTATCCAGTCCTATCACTTTCCAGTTTTGCAGAAAAGCCAGTTTTAGTACCTCTCTAGGTAAAACTTCTGTCATTCATTATATTAATGATGCATAAATTTTTTTTTTCTCATTTGATCCAATTTGCAATTTCATTGTGCTAGACTTCTTGAGACTACGGAAATCCAGAAATTTTCCACATCTTCTATTTTTCTTCCTTTCTTCCTTTTTGTTTCTTTCTCTTTTCAAACGTCTGTAATAAAGTTTTTGATTAATGTTTAATTGTTTATTTTCTTCTTTGCTTTTGCTTTGTATAAACCTTAACCTAGGGCAGATAGGTAGCACAGTGAATAGAGCATAGGACTTAAAGTGTCAGGAAGACCTAAGTTCAAATGCTATAAATGCTAGCTATAATTAACTTTTATATTTTCTTTTCAATTGTTGATTAAACTAATCAAAATTATCGATATGCTTTTGTTTTTCTGATTTCTTTCCACATTTCATTTTGTTGCATTAAATAGGGCAATATGAAATTTAAATTTTCTATTGCATGTACCAAGCCAATGTTGATACAATCTTCAAACATCATTCTACAGAGGTTTAATAGCTCTGCTGTGGCCATATTTTACACCTGTACTTACGGATATTATTTTTTAGCTTCATCTTGCCTCCCATGGTTCCTAACAAGGCAATGGATAGTGAATAGTTGATTGTGTAGATCCTTTTTTTCATTTTCTGTCAAATATTACAGAAGAATGCATTTGTTTATGATAATTATAGCAGATGCTAGTTTTCATGAACTGATCTGCTAGATGGATTCATGTCATCAAATTGAAAAAAGATCTTTAGAGAATTCCAGTCTAAATATGCCTACCTAATTTTCAAAACCCCTTAAAATCTTAGTACTAATTTTGTCATCCATGTATTTATTTATAATTTCTAGAGTTAGCATTAAAAATGACCTTGATATCTCCAACTTTTCCCTCTTCAAATTTTAGTAGTTCTCTATCTTATCTCTTATTTCTTCTAATGTGGGCTTTAAGGTTACATGTTTTTAAAAAGAATTACCCCTTTGTGGCTAGAAATGTTGCTGTATGATTTAATGTTTAGTGTAGCATTGATAAAAAAGCAAAGCCACATGAAACCTTTGCCTATAACTGGTGGCACCTGTTTCCATTTTTATACTGTATAATATATTGTACTGTATATACTGTACAACTTTATACTGTATAAATGTTTTCAAGTATTCAGTCCTCTTCATGTATCCACTTTCGTGGTCATCATCATCTGCCTCGAAACGTTTACAGCATGCAAAGTATTAGAATTTGCTTTTTTCTGGTAGTTCTTGTCTTCTTGCGGCATTACTGCCTTCCACGTCAAGCAGTCTCATGCTGCACCATTTCTCAGATTCTAAGGAGTAATTTCATCATACTGGCTGAGTTGCTTAATCACTTGTGTCACAAGAGCTCAATTTCCCAATGATTAAGGATTTACTGCAAGGCTTCTACAGCTACTATAGTGGTATCAAAGTTCAGAGAATCTCCTTGTCTGGCATGCCTTTACTTTGTTGTTACCTAATCCTTTCCCTCCTCACAACCAAAACATGGAACAGACTTGGATGGGGCTATGATTATGATTATGATTATTACTATCAGCAGCAACAGTATCACCTTCCATATGCATCTCTTCTCTATTCCCATTGTTTCAACCCTAACATAGGTCCTCATTATTACCCACATAGAATATTGCAAGAACCTCCTTTAAGATTGCCTGTCTAAAACCTTTACTTCATAAAATTCTTCCTCCACACACCACCCAAAATAATATATTAGTATTCTGATAAAAAAAAAAAAGTTCAATAGCTCTCTAATGTCGACTAAGTAAAGCTGAAATTTGATTACCTGGTATTCAAGATTCTATATAATCAGACACCAACCTACTTTCCAGTCTTCTTTAATATTATTCCACTCTATGCTTCAGCCAAACTAAATTACTCTCTGCCCTCTAAACTCCACCCTTATTTCCATACCTTGGATAAAAACAAAAAAACTTACATTGTGATCAATGGCCTTCATACCTTTGTTCATCCTATTTCTTATGAATCAAAGGCCATCCTTCTCTTCAGTCACCTATTAAATTCCTATCCATTCTTTAAAACTTAAGTGCACTTCCTCTATGAAGCCTTCCCTCCTTTGTAACAACCATTTCACTCAGACCTCAAATGGCAGTTTCTGATGTATTAAGCATCATATAATGAGAAATAGCATGACATGTTGCATAGAGAGCTGGCCTTGGAGTCAAGAAATGGGTTCAAGTCCTTCCTCTAAAATATACTGGCTGAGTAAGTCATTTAACCTCACAATGCTCCAGGCAATTTAAAAAGGAGACAAATTGCAGAGAAGACGTAGATCTGCAACAATAAAAATACGTATTTGGTAGATTTCACGCCATTGAAAACACAGATTAAGTACAAAAGAATTATATTATAGTTTTTTTGACAGTACTCTGCTCAAACAAGGTAATTACTAAGTTTGTTCAACCAATGAATGGTATAAAGAAAAAAGTATAAGCATAAAAAATTGATAATTTTCCAACTTGTTATTTTCTCTCCATACGTTAGTCATGGTTTGATAATAAAGAGGGGGCACTGAGTAATTAAGCCTTCTTAAGTACTCAACTTGTTCTAAAAGAATGAGTCAGGTACTCTCAAGAACTTAGCCTTACTATAATATAAATATACCTACATGCTATGCATATTGTGTGTATGTGTCTGTATATATTTTGATATACATATAAATGTACAAGCATATAAGCACATATATATATACATATATATATGTCCTTTGTAAACAACACTGTAAGAGTTTTTTTAAACATACACTTAAGTTTGACTAAACATATACATTTTCATCTGAATATACACAAAATAGTTACTCAAATTTACACCAATCTTATTAAGACTCCTTTGACTAAATTTATGTTAAAGCACAAATTCAGATGAATTTGAAAATTAAAAAATTAAAAATAAAGCTTACTTGAATATGTGAAAATAAATATAATTTTAATAATATGAAAAAGAAAATGACAATATGATAAAGACTTGATGTAACTAACTTTTAATTTTTTATAAGATACATCACTAAGAATGGAGACCTTTTAAGATAAAAAGGAACTACAAGGAGCAGGATTAAAAATTTTTGTTGTTACTGCTTGCACTAGGTTTTTTGTTCTCTTTGGTATTATAGGAAATTTTAATGGACTTAAGAAATATATAATCTTAAAACTATCTAGTCCAATGCAATATAGTATTATTTATGAATTTAAACTACAAATGAATAATGTCAAAACACAGGGTTCTAAATATGTTTTTCAAACCATATTTTATTTGAAAATGCAATAGCTTTTATTTTTTAATGATTACATTTTAGGATGTCTTATTTGAAGTCAGTTTCCTGCTTTGCAACATCAATTTTTAAAAAGCTGTGGGTCTTAAGTGAAGGAATATAAATGAATGTCAGTCCCCGCTGGTAGATTTGAATATATAACTTCTTATTGAAAGAAAATAACACGTAATGAAACTGCTTATAAGAAGTTAGATCTCAAATAAGAAACCAATGTCCATTTCTACCTCATACCTTCATTCTGCAATCAATGTCATGTTTTTCTTTCCTCCACTGTGTTTCCTGCTTCCTCAAGTTCTCCAGATCATTTAGCAGTTCATGGCAGTGTATACTTAATTCCTTATTTTCCTCCTCCAGCTCTTCGATAATTAGTATGTTTTTCTCTTCCTTCTTCTGTACCCTCTCCTTAGTGCTCTGCAGATAGTACCATGAGGACCAATAAACAAAACAAAACAACAATAACAACAAAAGCAAGAATTAATCAGCAAATATAAGCTATACATTTTTACCCTCACAGCAGCTTTCTGTATTTGATGGCCAAGGTCACCTGTGTACTTTTATTGGCCTCTTTTCATGCAGGTGGAAGGGTCATATTTTTTAACTGGATGACAGCTTTGATGAGCACACATTTGCAAAGAGCACATTAATTGATCAATCTGCCTTTGATGCTGTCCCCAGCTATTTTTGAGACCCACACAGACATATCCTCCCAGACCTGGGCTTTATCAATTAATAATGCTAGTCCCATCAGAATCTAATTACAAGAAGCCACATCTTCACACTCCTACTTTCTTTGCTCCATTTCCATCATTAACTATTTATTTGAAAGTTATAAAGCTTAGATTCTTAGCTTTAAAGCAGCTTTCCCAGAGTTTTGTGTGTAAGAAAACTCTATGATACAGGAAGGCCTAAGGCAATTTTTCCTCTAAGCTTGTCACTTTCTGTGCCACAAAGGCTGACAATGCTTAAAGAAGGACTTCAAAGCTACAGTTCTATAAAACTATGTACAAGTCAATATACCTTAAGCTCTTGACTTTGATCTTTAAATTTCTTCTGTAAGTCACTCAATTCTTTCTTTAAGAAAACATTTTCTTCATCCACAGCAATTTTCTTTTCTATAAGGGTATTTATTTCCCGTTGTGATTCTGATTCTCTCTGTTGAAAAAAGTGAAGAACACTTGTTCATAGCTAAGATAAGAAAGTTAAAAAATCATTTTCTGCAGATTATGAAAATCTCATACTCATATAGTGCTTTTGAACAAATAATTGTCCTAGCAATAAATCTGTACAAGTATCTATTTTTAAACTTAAGGAAACTTAGTTTCAGAATTCAAAATCATACTACTAGTGCCAAAACTAGTACTAAACAATGTACCATAGAGATTCTAAGTTTAGTGATCTATCCTACCACATTGTGCCTCAATTAACATCTGAAATTTGACTTCCTTTGTTTTAATAATATTCATTAAATTCAGTTACCCAATATAAAATAGCATGTAGAAACTAGACTTTCTATTTGATGGTGTGAAAGCTGGCTGTGTGTGTGTGGAAAAGAATAGGTTGTTACAAGCTAAACAAGTCAATTACAGATATCTGCTACTGATATTTTTAAGGTAATTTAACAGTGGGGGAACCTAGGGGACTCAATGGACAAAGGTCTGCATCTAGAGTCAAAAAGACCTAAGTCAAATCCAGCCTCAAGACACTTACTAGCTATTGTATGATCGTGGCCAAGTCATGTCAACTTCTGTCTGTCTCAGTTTCCTCAACTATAAAATGAGGATAATAATAGCATCTACTTCCCAGGGTTGCTGTGAGGGTCAAATGCTTATATTGCCCCCTCCTTTCCCTCTCAATAATGCCAAATAAAATTAAAGGTGCATATAATTCAAGGTCATATAACAGGCTTCAATGGAGGGGAAAAAAACATCTTAATTATAAGCTTGAATATAATGGGCTGAATTCAACCATAAAATTACAGCGGTGTGTACAATGGACTAGAAAACAAAATTCATCCATTTTCAGGCAAGAAGAAGCACACTTAACACAGAAAATAAGTATACCATTAAAGTGAGAAGCTGGGACACAAATGACTTTCAATCAGCTGAGCCCACAAAAGTAGTAGTTGTAATCATGACTTCAAATAAGAAAATAATAAAAATAAAATCTACCAAAATGGACAAGAAATGAAGAGTATAATATAGTTAAAGTTATTACTTATCATGAAATAATATCAATATTAAATATTATGCACCAAAATAAATAGTATCTGACTCTGCTTCAACTAACACTTTTTTGAATGAAAAACTAATTAAAAGCTACCAAGACAATAATTATAGATAACTTTAAAATACTTTGTGCAGAACATGACAAATCAAACCAAAAAAAAAGGAAAGTATGAAAATTACAAAACATTTAATGAACTATACTGATGATTAGCAGGGAATCTTAGACAGCATGAATACTCTTCAGCATTACATAGCACAACTAGCAAAAGCTCTTACCTTCTAGGGCATGAAAAACATATGGTCTTATTTGAAGGTATGATTATGAAAATATTGTTCACAAACATTAACAATGAAAATTAAATAAGGGAAATTTTTTTAAAGTACAGGTATAAACAGAGAATAAATAATGAATTAATCAAAAAACAAATCATAAAAACAGAATATAATTATATTGTAAAAAATAATAATAATAACTGTGAGAAACCAGACCAAAATTTACGGAATGGAACTCAATCAGTTCAGGGAGGGAAATTTATACATTAGGTTAACAAAAAAAAAAGAATAATGGTTTGAGCATAATTTTTTTAAATAAGAATATATGCAAAGTAATAATATCAATGCAAAAAAAGACATTTTTAAAACCAAAAGTTAGACAAAAATAACAGAAAAACAAGACCAAAAAAAGACTAGTGAACTTAAAAAGAGATTGTTTTAAACACAAATTTTAAAATGACCTAAATAAAAATATAATATGGAGTATTCATACCAATAAAATTCAGACCAAAAAAACATAAGGACAATTGTACTCAATTACATCCTAATGAAATTTTAAAATTTCTTAGAAGTATAAATACATTTTAGCACTTCTTAGGACTGAACAAGCCATAAATGAGCTCTCCCTCCCCCAAAAAACTCTGACTCCATCCAGATTTATTAATGAATTTTATCAAATTCGTAAAGAACAAATAATCCCTTTCCTACATAAACTAAACACAAAAAAATAAAAGAAACTAGCTACCAATCAAAAGCCTTTTATTGGGGCAGCTAGGTGGCGCAGTGAATACAGCACTGGTCCTGGAGTCAGGAGGACCTGAGTTCCAATCTGGCCTCAGATCAAACACTTGACACTTACTAGCTGTGTGACCCTGGGCAAGTCACTTAACCCCAACTGCCTAAAAATAATAAAAAAAGCCTTTTATTTAGACAAATAATAAGCTCATAAACCAGGGAGAAATAATTCAAAGAAAGAACTATAAAACAATATCAAGAATTAATAATATTTAGCATATGAAAGTCATCATTACATTCTGCGGATACAAACAACAAAGGGAAAACATTCTCTTCAGAGATTACAACGTTTGGGAGCTACAAAATGCACACAAATGAGTACTGTACTAATTGTAAGTATGATCAACTTCTAGGCCAGTATCTTGTGAGTGACTGTGTACCTCAATAAAGAGGCTCTGTTATTTCAGGATTTGATGGTGATTAAAAAAAAAAAAAAGGATTGAAGGAACTGAGCTCACATTCTCATGAGAAAGGACCAGGATTCAAATCCCAGCTCTGCTGCTACCACTTGTGCCACCCTAAGCTATTCATTTACTTCTTTAGACTTCAGTTTCTTCCTCTATAAATGGGAGATCTGGACAAGATTTTCTTGAAAATACCTTTTAGATCTACAACTAATAACTTCAGAAGCACACTATGATGAGAAAACAGGAGCATCTAAAGAACCTCATTATGGGTAGGGAATCTTTCTTCCTGGACTTGGCAAAAGACAGCCTCCATGATAGTGCTAAAAAAAAAACCCTTCAGCTAATATAACTGGCATTTCTGTTTAATTTAATATTAAAGTTAGTTATGCACAAACACAAAAGTGGTGCTGTACTTTTCCCTTGTTTAGGGGGTTTGTTTGTTTTACTTATGGTTTGTTCAAAAGAATGCATTTGCATTATATAATTTGGTGAATAACATTCCTGAATGGCTTCATAGTATCACTTCTACAGGTACTCTCTCTAATGAAGTAGCTTGCAAACAATTCATGTTGCCTCCTCCTCTGTGATTTTAATCTATAAATTCACTACAGATTATGTGCCTCACATACTGAATACCATTCTGTAGAACATTTAATAACTGGGAGATGACAATTCTATACTTGCTATGTCCATCAGTTAAACCTCACTCTTGCTACATGAAAAGCCCATTGATTTTTCTTATCCAATAAATATTTAGTGATGTATTTTATGCTATTTCAAAAGATTTCAGAGTTGGAAAAGGACCTCAGTGATGACCTGGTGCAATCCATATCTAAAAAAGTTTTAGCTCAACAATATGCCTAACAAGTGATTGTTCGTTCTTTCTCTGAAGACTACCAATGAGGAGGAACCACTACCTTTCAAAGTAGTCCATTACACTTTTCAAGAGTTCCAATTGTTAGGAAACGTTCCTTTACATTAAGTGTAAGTTTCATTGCAAATTCTACCTACTCTTCTTAGTACTATCCCCTGATGGCAAAATTAAAAAAAAAAGTATAATCTCTGTTAAACAAAAAAGTCCTTTAAATATTTGAAAAATAAAACTATTATGTCTCCAGTGGTTTTTCTCCAGGCTAAACAACATACACAGTAATTCTAACTGATTTTCACAAAGGAAGAAAATGAGGCCTTTACCATTCAGATTACCCAACTGGAAGCTATCCAACTTATCAAAATCCTTCCTCAAATGTCATGAAAAGAACCTAATATAATATTTCAAGTGTAGTCTGAAGAAGAGCAGGACTACCGGGTCCAAAATATCATCATAATCTCAAGACAAAGAAAAAGCAAAAATACAGCCAGTTAAAAGAGATAAACAGGAAAAGAACATCTTGCTGAAAAGTACAATAAAAAATTAATTCATACCAATACAAAACATATAGGTACTAAAACACACTGCATGTAAATTTTTAAAGAAAATTTAAATTAGTTATAGGGAGAAATATATAGTAAAACTATATTAGTGGGGGATCTCAATTTACCACTCACAGACCTATATAAAGCCAACTAAAAAACAAACAAAAAAGAAATGAAGAATCTGAACTAAATTTTAGAAAAGTAAATAGGACAGACGTTTGGAGATTATTTAAATGGAAACAGAAAGGAACATACATATATCTCAGTTATGTAAGATACCTTGCTTTGAAAACACTGGCCATGGATTAGAGTATAAAAACTTCATGAAAAAAATGCAGATAAGAAGAAATATTAAATATACTTTGTATACCATGATATAATACAAATGATATTCAATAAAAGTCCTCTGAAGAAAAGAACAAAAAGTAATTGGAAATTTAATGATAATCCTAAGGAATGGGTGAGTCAAAAAACAAATCATTTAAAAAATCAATAACTTCATTAAAGTTAATGGCAACAAGGTGACAACAAATTAAAATTTTGAGGACGCAGTCAAAAAAGTAATTAGGAATAAATTCTTATCTCTAAACACATTAATCAATAAAAGAGAAAAAAAGCAGAGCAACAAATTAGGCAGGTAATTTTAAAAACTAGAAAACCAACAAATTACAGCCGTCTTTCTCAATTCAACACCAAACTAAAAATCGTGAAAAATCAAAAAAGAAATGAACAAAATTGAAAACCCCCAAAAAATGAATTAACAAATGAAACTCAGACCTAGGTTTTTTCAAGTCAAAAAACTAAACCATTAGATGCTTGTATTTTTTAAAAAAGGAAGAAGAAAACCAAATTACCATTATCAAAAAAGAAAAAGGCAAATTGACAATCAGTGAAAAAAAAATTACTAGGAACTATTTTCTCCATTTATATGACACAAATGACAGACTAAAATGTCAATCCAATTTTAGAAAAAAAAATACTTTAGAAAGTATTTTTAGAAAGAAACTACTTTTTAGAAGAAGAAAATACCTCCTTA